GGTAGATGTGAATTAGATGGGTGGTAGTTGTAAGTTAGATGGGAGGTAGGTGTAAATTAGATGGGAATTAGGTGTGAATTAGATAGGAGGTAGTTGTAAGTTAGATGGGAGGTAGGTGTGAATTAGATGGGTGGTAGTTGTAAGTTAGATGGGAGGTAGGTGTGAATTAGATGGGTGGTAGTTGTAAGTTAGATGGGAGGTAGGTGTGAATTAGATGGGTGGTAGTTGTAAGTTAGATGGGAGGTAGGTGTGAATTAGATGGGTGGTAGTTGTAAGTTAGATGGGAGGTAGGTGTGAATTAGATGGGTGGTAGTTGTAAGTTAGATGGGAGGTAGGTGTGAATTAGATGGGTGGTAGTTGTAAGTTAGATGGGAGGTAGGTGTGAATTAGATAGGTGGTAGTTGTAAGTTAGATGGGAGGTAGGTGTGAAATGGATGTGAGTTAGTTGTGAATTAGATGGGAGGTAGGTGTGAAGATTGGTGGTAGTTGTAGTAGAATGTTATTAGATTAAGGGAATTTTTGAGTAGATAGAAATAATTTCTGACAGCACTAGCTCTAAAAGGCTGTACACAATGGTCAAATTTTTTTTTTTGGGGGGGGGGGGTGTTATGGATTAGACAATGGCAGTTATGGATTAGATAATGACAGTTATAGATTAGACAATGCAGTTAGGGATTAGATAATGACAGTTAAAGATTAGACAATGCAGTTAGGGATTAGATAATGACAGTTATAGATTAGACAATGCAGTTAGGGTTTAGATAATGACAGTTATAGATTAGACAATGCAGTTAGGGATTAGATAATGACAGTTTTAGATTAGACAATGGCAGTTAGGGATTAGATAATGACAGTTAAAGATTAGACAATGGCAGTTAGGGATTAGATAATGACAGTTATAGATTAGACAATGGCAGTTAGGGATTAAATTATGGCGGGTATGGATTAGATATTGGTACAGGGGATTACCTCACAAAATATTTTACAAAGAGACAACAATGTTCTTTGATCATGTTGATTAAAACACTCCCACACCCCCCCCCCTCCCCTTTTTTACACACTCACACGCGCGCCAGCGCGCGCGCAAAGAGAGTGGCAGGAGAACACACATAGACTGGAGAAAAAATGACCCCCTTCCTGGTTTTAGAATAATCTTTGCTCCCTAAAATTATTTTATTGGTAATTTTTGAGAGTATATTCTTCTGTTCTACACAAAAATTGATAGTACCAAAATACATTTTTATTCAGCTACTGCGAACTGCCTTTAAAAGTCTACAATTATTTAAAGCATTAGTGTGAATAATTGTCTTTTTTATTGATGCATTTCTTTATAATTAATTATTTAGTTCGTCTGTTTTGTTTTTCATCTGACGTTGTATAGAGATCATGTCTTGCCCGTGCGTCATGATCTATCGCTAAACCGGCCTTGTTTGCACTAACTGAAATGTATACGCTTGAGATACGTTCGCGCAACGCATGTTGCGGATGCTACAGGATCAGAAGAGTAGTGCTCTATCTGTCCAATGTTGAAATCTCCCTCCTAGACCAGCTACAGCTATCGGGAATCGAACCTGTCACCTCCAAATGGGGTGTGTGCCTTGCTGTGGAAACAAGCGTACTGAGATACATGAGGCACCCTTAAATGTATCTTCATTGGTCAAGTCAGTTGTACAGCTTGAAATTCCTAACTATGGAATACGAACTAAACGGGAGCTGTTTGGTCTCGAGGCATGGTGTCCGCCTCGAGTGCTAGAGGTTCCGGGTTCAATCCCCGGTACGGGCTGGATTTTTTATTTTCACGTGGACTTGGACTTCTAGTAATTCCCCCTAGTCTCTGGGTAGTAAATGTGGACGCGCGTGTGCATTGGTGCGCACGTGAACACTCCCTTGGCAGTTGGAAATCAAAAAGAGTAGCCTAACGGCCAAAATGTTGAGTTTAAAATCTACTCAAAGTATTTCAGTATTCTCCCCTGTGCTACAGAACCTGTGCACTGTACTGAGCATTTTCGGACTCAAACTTGAGTTAGATAGAAGAAGAACGGAGCACGTATGGGTAACACTCGTGTGGCATGATGTTTATCCGTTGTTCAAAACCTCAAACCTCAAGAATAAGAGAATAAGTGACGCTGTCCCTGTCCTCTGTCGTTTATCTGCCTGTGGTATCATTCTCATGCTTGCAGACCTGTCTAGCCTCATCAATATGATCATCAATTTTTCAGAGCATCCCTGAAGGGGGAGATTTTAGTTATAACTGTGACTAGGTTATGGGCGCCATATAAAATGGCTTCGCAATGCCCGCTACGAAAAGCCATGAAATCGACTACTGCAGTGTTGTTGCGATCAAAAGAGACAGACCCAAATACTGTCGCAATCCGCGACGAAGTCTTCTACCGGCAAGCCAACTGGCGTCCTGGTCGCTGATGCTGTCTAGCCTCTCATTGTCAGTTACTTTATTCGTTAAAACTTGTAGCCAGCTCCTATTTCACGATATATGGCGCTCGGGTTGACACAGACGTCATAGTAATTCCTTGCATACTTCGAACACATCTTCATCCGAATACAAAAGGACCCTCACTTTCTCTCTGTCATAGCTCATTATCTTTCCTCGCACGTGATTCGGCGCTTATGGGAGTGTCCCGAGTGGTGTGGTGTCGATTCTTAGGACTATTCATGTTTCCTGGCCCATCTTCACACTGTCCCAGTCGGATCTAGGTCAGAGGGGTGTCATGTTGTACTGCTTTCTTCGAAAATAGTCTCTCGTGGGATCTAAGCTGAGGCTGTTGGTAGGGGGGTTTGGGTTAGAGCCAGTTCTACATGTTCTATGGTCGTTGAAAGCTGTGTCATCGTGTAGTATAGAACACGCAACATCGGCGCTGATATAATTGGAGGCAAGACAACGTGACACCCTCCAACGTAGAAGAGTCTGAGAAAAACGTGAACAGGACCGATTCCTAATTTAACATTCGACATCCAACTCGTGATTCTGTCGACACTGCTCTTTCTCGTACAAATCCTCCACTTACTCGTATTTTCACAATTTCTAGTGTGGGTACGGCGTGATGCTGACAACATCGCCCACCCAGTATTGATTGGTCTATAAGATATAGGGTTAGTTTTACGATAGTCTTCCCAGAGAAAGCAGGTCACGTTCCACTGATAACTATGTTGGACTGGTCTACCTTGCTGGACGTTACGTGTGTGCCGCTCTGTTGTTTGCTTTCTGGAATGTCTTGAATTTACCTTTGTTCCGAGAAAGAGAATGCCTGTAACATAGGTTTCATTACTCTCGAATGGGGTTTGTGTTAGACCTAATTTGTTGATGTTTATGGAGTGTTAAAGCACTGGCATACAAAAATATAGAACACTCGATATGAAAGGCACCCCCGTCACTTTGTGCCAAGGATACGTGGCTCAAGGTCGACCAGTAAAAAAAAGAGTTAGGCTGAAGGTCAACCAATAATGGTGAATAATAGTGAAGTTGTTTGTTTGTTTGTTTTAGTATCCAGAAGCCATGAGTTGTTAACCCTTAGCCTGGTATTATGGGTATTGCAACCTTTCGGCCTTGATTCCATTGTTAATACCGTTAATCTAGGAAAAATGTGGCTTTTCTGCCTACCCCCGGGAGTGAACCCGGACCACAAGGAGTTCGTCACTCGGTCTCCGCCCAATCCGGTTTAGCCAACTACGCTAGAGAGCCGGGCTAATAAGTGAGGTAGAGTGTGACATTATGTACAGTGGGGAGAACAACGTTATTTTTACCAGATATAGATCCAGCTCTTTGTGCCCACTACACCTGACGTTTGTTAGCTGGTCTTTCACCTATAAGCTAAGCTATGTGGAAATTACCTCTGACCTTTGCTGGCGTAATACATATAACATCTGCTTTCTACACCGACTCGCTACAGACGGAAAACTGTTGTATATTGTTTTCTGGTTAGTTCGACGTTAAACTCTCCAAAAAGAGTAGGTCAATTTTCATTAACAAGTTTGTTAGATAGCCAAGAATGATTTCATTTGTACTATCGTTGACTTGTACTATTATATTAGCCCGGCTCTCTAGCGGAATTGGCTAAACCGGATTTCGCGGAGACCGGGTGACGTACTCCTTGTGGTCCGGGTTCAATCCCGGGAGTAGGCAGGAAAGCCACATTTTCTCCCAGATTTACGGTATTTACAATGGAATCAAGGCCGAAAGGTTGCGATATCCATAATACCGAGCCTAAGAGTTAACAACTCATGGCTTCTGGATACTAAAACAAACAAACAAACTATTATATTAGGAGTTTGCACTCTTCACTTATTCAGCTGCCTTTGCTCAAATCAGTGGGAGCCTATTGCTGTCATGCATTCCCGTGCACGTCTCGAATGGCGTCCTTCTCTTGTTTCACGTCACAAATGGTAGCCTACGCATTCCTCTACATAGCCATCGAATTGTATTCATCAGCCCTTCGCCCACTTAAGTAAAGGCACAGGCTTTGTTCATTTATCACTCGTATGCCCGACACTACACGTTACAAATAGGAGCCAAGTCGGGCCCTTGATTTGTGTCACCATGGCTTGTGATTCCCTTATCTCGCTATAGCACAATGAAGTAACAGACTGTATTGATCGGCACCCATTTAAAGAAGTAGAAAGATAGAAAATCACACTAGACAACATAAAAATTTAAAGCTATGGTTACCGTGCCAGGAATCTTTATTTTCATATACTTTCGATTTTTATGTTGTCTAGTGTGCTGTTTTATCTTTCTACTTCTTTCTATGAGTGCCGATCAATACATTGTCAGTTACTTCATTATTACATTCTATTTAACGGTCTCTGTTTATTTATGTGAATAGCACAAGGAAACATTATCGCCTGGAAAAAAGAAACAGTACCAATAAATGTTAAAAGTGTACATCACCTTTTGTCTGATTGCATGCTTCCCTAACAACTCTCTCCACCTGAACATTCACTGAAAACGCAGAAGCCAAATCTAGTTTGCCATAATGTGTGTTTATTTACAAACTTCGGAACTCTACGTAGTCAATCAACAGAGCCACGTTATCGCCTTGCCATGTCGGCAGCCATTGGCTATGGGCGTTCCAGAAGTCTTCAGCGGCTCGAGGGGAGTTGTTTTTCCATGGCTTTTTCACGCCATAGTTGACGTCGTCAGGGAAGAACCCGGATGTACCTCCAACGGCTACGTTCAAAATGAGGTAGAACTGAAACAAGAAAGTAGTGATAAGGGGTCACTACATGGCATTTTTTTTCAATTTATGTCCAAAATATCACTTTTCAATGTGTTCATTTTTGTAATGTTCGGCATTCATAGAATAGATTACACAAAAAATTTGTGTCATTGGTAAACAATTTAGCATTGAAAAGTTAATACTAAAGACACCAACCCATGCACTTTTTTAAGATAAAAAAAAAGTTTCAAAGTCACTGACAATTCTATTTTTCTGTTTGTTGTGTGTGGGATCTTCTAAAATCTCAGCTAATATGAAGACTAGAGACATGAAATTTGGTGTGGATACTCCTAACACAATATTATTCGGTCAGGTCTATGTGAAATTACATTTTGTTAAGTATTTTGTTTTAAATTTTATTATTATCTTAAAAAGCTAAATTTTTGTATTTTTTCAACATACCTAAATTTTAATATTCTAAAACAAATATTTAAAAACATCTTTAAAGTAAATAAACTAGACCTGACCCTAAACATATGTTTAAAGTTAATGAATCGATCATCTGTTTCTCAATACCCCTGTTTGTTTTTGAAATTTTAGCTGTCTAAGTACATGTTGTTGTTTTTTCATCAAGATGGCGGCTGTTGCCATGGCAACCATGTTTTCTTAAACTTGAAGTCCACAAATGTATCAACATACATCCCTACAAATGACCATTATAAAATAATCATAAAAGTGCTGACACGACAGAGGAATACAGAGTGTTTAATACGGTATTAGTAGGGATGACAACACAAAAGAAATACTTGGGGTGTGTAGGGGTGGTGAGCTCATCCTTATTTACTTAACCAGTGAGGTCTCAGTAGGCCTAATCTTTGTTGAATAGCTTAATAAACATATTATTTTAATAAAAATATAATAATAATATTTAAAAAAAATTAACTGACAGCTTTTCGTCTTTCTTCGGGTTCTCCGTGAGGTAGGCGTCAAGCCATTTGCCTCAGGCTCTAAAAGGAGCTGGTTCGTTTCACAGTTCAGTTCACGAATGCAATTTTTACGTAGATCGCTGGGAATCGTTGCCAGAGCTATGGAGTTCGTGCTCTGAGGACACTTTCGGCAGGTGGCTAGCCGTTTTGCTGAGAGAGACTTAGTCATGTGGGACAAAACCTGGTGCAATAAAGTTGATCCTCTCGACTTTAAACTTTACCCTTTGTAACCTTTACTTCTTTTCAGACGATAGTGTTATACTGTGCAATGGCCCGGCTCGCTAGCTAAGCTGGTTAAGCCAGCCTACGCGTCGACCGGGTGACAAAATCCTTCTGGTCCGAGTACACGCTCAGGGGTAGGCAGAAACGCCAAATATTTCGCAGATTTACGGTATCTATCGTGGAATCAAGGCCGAAGGGTTGCGATATCTATAGTGCTGTGGCAAAGGGTTTACGCGGTTTCTGGATCAATTTAAAACAAAAAACTTCTGTTCGATGGGGAAGCGCATGGGAAACACAGGCCATGGCGATTGGGAGAGTGCCCGGCATCACTGTCCTGCATGTTTCTCTTCTTCACAGCACGAAGCCAGAGCTGTAATATCTACGTCTTTCAACCAATATATTTAATTTCCTCAAACCTCTAATTATTTGCCTTTTACAATATGCCTGAGTAGTATAATAGAGACACACCCCCCCCCCACCCTCTTTTTTTCCCCAGTGGGGCCCAGTATCTCAGACAGGACGTCTATGTTGTTTGGGTACTTATCACGAACCCACCCGCACAGCGAGAGTTCACTTCATTTCCATTTATGCAGCGGTTGCACGGCATGTCCTATGTTGGGGGAAAGTCCTGTTTTCTTTATTTTCAATGGTTTAACCGTTGTCTCTTTTCTCGTGTTGTGACTACTCAGCTGCGTGATTATTTCCACGTTGTGCTACTTTTCTTACGATTCAAGAGTGTGGAAACTGTGATGATTTTTGTATTCCTACGTTCCTTGTAAGTGGCTTCTTTTTATCGGGGAAAGCCACCGACACCGAAGGTAAAAACACACACAAAAATCCCAGTTTCGATACTCACGAACAGTCGCACCTTCGGTGCTTCTCCTTCAGTACTTCTTACTTGTACACAGGCGCCTCAGAGAGACTCGCGACTAAAAACCTCAAACAAACATTATATACGGCGAGTGAACACCTAACGAAGCCATCTCATACTCCCCCCCCCCCCACACACACACACACGCACACAGTAGGATATGTTGTCCGATCCACCGCAGATAAATGGGAAGGGAAAAAACTCTCGTCGTGCGGGCAAGTTCGTGTTAAGTTACGTTGGTGATATCTAT